TTAACAATGAACTTAAGGACCACCATCAGTGGACAGTATTACTTGGTCTGTTGTGTGGATACTTGTGTGTTTTTAGGGGGTGGGGAATTTTGGCGGGTGGGGGTGTGTTGGGGAATTGTGTGTGTGTGTGTTGGGTCTGGTCTCTGGGTGTTATGCGAATTTTGTTGTATGTGTATACTCTGTATATACGTACAATGACAAAGAAGTATTATTATTGTTATTATTATCATAGGATGTGGGCACAGATATTTTAGTAATTTCTTTTACTTCCCTATGGAGAGCTATGTTTCCTGCTCGTGTAATGAAGTACAGTATAAAAGCATGTTAAAGAAATCATTTGGGGTTTTTCCCAGCCTTATGGAGACCTGTCTTTGTCCAAATCTGACTCAGGCTATGTCTCAGAGAGAATTGGACTTTGCCTCTTTCTTGGCGCTGAGCCAGATCTAGTACTCCTAAATAACAGTATAACTGGGCAGGATGATTTCTTCCATCCAATCAACAGTTCTTTTGTGCTTTTTTCCTGCTGTACTGAATACAAAGGGAAATTTGAGTCTTTGTCACAGGTTCCCTCTTTTCATACAGAGAAACCTTTTTGCTAGAGCAATTAAAATAAATGATCTTCCGCTTAGATAACTAATTGGAAAGAATATGCTGAGGCAGAATCTAGAGGCAATTTTGATCCTTATAACAGAGAGCTGGATAATTAGAAAGTGAACAGGCAAGTTAAGTGGGTGGGAGAAAGGACTTCATTTAAGTGAAGCAGGAATCTAAATCAAATTGAATTTGTAGTAGTCCTAACACCAAAATAATGTGAGGTTTGGACGAACTTGTGTAAATATATAGGAGGCTGATTGAAAATGATTAGCACTCTAATGTGTAAATAGTTTAAGCCCTTGAAGATTCAATATAAGAAATATCAATCTTAATTATGGTTTAAAATATCAATAATCATATTGGTAGTCCTTGAATTACAATCATAATTGAGCCTGTAAATTGTAATGGTTGTTAAGCAAGGTGCCCATATGATTGCCTAGCTTAATGATCCCCACTCCTGCTCTTAATGATCCTGATTCAGTCATTAAGCAGAGCACAGTGTGCCCCAGGTGGGGGAGGCCTTTGGAGGACTAGAAAGGCCCGGTCCTGCCTGCCTGCCCCAGTCCTCCCAAGGTTTCAGCCTCATGCTGTTCAGCAAGCAGGTGCTATTCTCAAGATCTTTTGAAAGCTTCTGTTTTAAGGACTGAATCTCCTTAAAATGGAGTCTGCTTAAAAATAAAGCCTTTCACTGGCTGTCGAAACCAGCAGAAAAACAGAAAGATAAGTTAGGTGTAGATGCGGATGGTCCCTGGAGCTGTCTGAGTGGCTGGGTTGGGAGCAGGCTGAGGCCTGCAAGCTGCAGCAGCTTCACATATATACCAGTAGCCTCTGCATCCAGTTTGAGGTTCTCTTGAGTGGTTAAGTGCCTGCTTTTTAAACAAATATATATTTATTTGTATCTGCCTTTATTTTTACAAATAATTGAAGATCATGAAAATATCCAGCATGCCTTTCTCCTCCTCTTTTACGAATACAAATATGTGTCCCAGAATAATGTTGCAGGATCCAATCTGGGTCAGTAACCGGGACCATATTTGTCTTGCCACATTCTGGTGAGAGAGAAGTTCCCTGAGGATGGGCTCCATCACAAGTCCAAAAGCTCGGAAGACTAAACTTCTGATCCCGGTAACCGACCCAGATTGGATCCTCCTCTTTTACCTACAATAACGATCCAGGAGGTGAAAGAGAGTAACTGGCTCAAAGTCACCCAGCTAGCTTTCATGACTAAGGTGGGACTTTAATTTATAGTCTTACTGACCTAGGGTCTTAACCACTAGACCAAACTGACTCTCAACAGGCAAATGTGCACTGGTAGTCTCTGGAGCCGACTTGAGGCTCTCTCAAGTGACTAGTTTCATCCATTGGGAGCAGGCTGAAGGCCCGTGGAGACCTGGCAGGGCAGAATAGGAGAGAAGATTAGCAGGGGAGGCTTCTATAGCATCCCTGCAGTCAATGGCTCAGTTGTAAGGGTGATTGGCTGCAGGGACTCTGCAGTGGCCATAAATTTGAAAATAGGTTGTAAGTAGCTTTTGAGAATGTCCATTGTAATTTTGAATGGTTGCTAAGTAACTGATAGTAAGTAAAGGATTACTTGTAGTATTTAGCTTCTTCATCCAGAATCAAGCATAACAATATAAAATATTTTGTGGGTGGTATCAAAGTGTTTGTTATGATAGAGAAGGCTCACTTCTCCAATAAAAAGCTAATCCAAATTTTGGGACAAGACACAGATCGTAGCTAGCAAAATTGAACCCGAAGCTTATCATATGACAAGGCATAGACGGAAAGGAAGAATGATGAATTGCAGATATCATAGCTAAACAAATTGTTGAATTAAGTTTTTGGATGAGACCTTATGAATAGGTTAACACTTGTTGCAAAAAATTGTTATGATTTGCCGTTAAACTCTGTCTAAATTATAGTTTTCTTCAGTGTTATACAGAATTGCAAAAGCTGTTGTTATTTGGATACAGGAAATCTCTTGTGACATCAGATATGCTCTGACTTGTGATAAATACTATATAAAACCACAAATTCAGCACTGGTCGGTACACAAGCTTTGGGAGAGATCTTATGGATATCACCATTATATTCTTACCTAATGTTTGTATACTAAAAAATTAATATACTGTTTGGGTGGCTATATAAATATAAATTTTAAACAAACAAACAAATAAATAAATAGGATGTGATATGTAAAATTACATATTAAGGATTATACCTGGGAAAATGAGAAACCTAAGTAATAACGCCATATTTATTCTAGCAATGACCTATGGCAATATTCCTGGAATATTATTGGAATGTTAAGTAATGATTATATAAATGTTATATTCATCACAAAAACAAGGTTGTTTTGTACTCTGAAACATGTTTAATGTGTTATTGTATGCTAAAATGAAGAAATGCTGATGTTAACACTAGTATCCTAGAATAGACAATCTGCCAAACAGAATATAGGATACGCCATAAGAACTGGAGTTGTGTGGAAATGAGATAGGTGAGTGGGTGGTGGTTACTGGAAAATTACCCAGTAGACCCAAGGAATTACCCAAGGAAACAGGATAAGGTGATGTTAACAGAATCTTGTATGCAGAAGTGTATAAAAGTCTCCAACATGATTTTGGGGAGGGATCTCCATTTTAGGGAGAAGGGGTCCTGGCCTTTGCAAATGCTAAATAAACAAGCTCTTTATTGTTCCTGGTCTCCTGTTGCTTTTTTGATTATTATCACAGATAACAAAATTTTTGCCAAAATCAGAACATTGTTATGGAATGTGAAACTATTGAGACCTGTTAACTTTGCTATATAAGTGCTACCGTGTTTCTCCAACAGTACGGCCTCCACCAATAGGAAGCCCCAGCATGATTTATTGGCATAAAATCAAATTAAGCCCCTCCCCCCAAATTAAGGCCCTTTTTAAACATGCGAAATGGGGGGGGGAATGGCGGGGGGGATGGTGGTGGGGGGGCTTGCCGTTAGGAAGTACTTTGTTGCATGCCTGGATATGGTGCTGCCTACATTGGTGGGGCACTTCATATCGGGAGACTCAGTGCTCACTCTTTGCTCGGACGAGTGAATTGGAACATTTCGGGCGCCTCCTCCTCCTCGCCCATCGCAGGTGGCGGTGGTGGCGGCAAGCGGCAGCGCTTCGCTGAGGGAAAAAGAAGACAGCGCAGCCGCCTTGCTTGCTTTCCCGCCTGCCCGCTCCAGCCGGCCTCAGGAGCGGCGGCGGTGGCAGCAGGCGCGCACGTTCCTGCCGGCGAAGGGAGGAGAGGCGAGGAAAGAGAAGGGAGCGCAGCAGCGGTGGCTGTCACAGTATCGTCTCATAGCGGGGCAAGGCTGGCAAGCTGAGGTGGCCGTACCAGAGAGCGTCGCTGCCGATCCCGTTGTGAGGATAAAGGAGCGGGATAGAGATTCAGTCAGACGTCAGCCTCGGCTAGAGAAAAGAGCCAGCCTCTCGGAGCACGCCGCCGTCTCTCTCTCTGTGTGTGTGTGTATGAAAGAGCTTGCCTCGCTCGGAGTGTTTGGCGAAGCACGCGAGTTTCGCAATCGGAGAGGGAGGCAGCGGCGAAAAGGACGCGGTGGCAACAGCAGGATGCTGTAATTGGGCAAGGTCAGGACCTTGCATTGAAGCAGCCCGGGGGGCACGCAGCCACTTTCCTCCAGCCCACCTTGAGGATTTGCCTTTTGTTGTTGGTATACTTGGCTTCAGGCGCTCCTGTCGCCGCCTTCCCTTTGCCTTCGAAGGCAAAACGAATTATTTTAAAAACCTCTGCTCATCTCACCAGGGCCGCGCCGGAGCCGTGCGGGCTGGGCAGAGCCAGGAAACACCCGCGGCTCGCTTTCCCGGCTCTGCCCAGCCAGCACGGCTCCGGCGCAGCCCTGGTGGGATGAGCGGAGGTTTTTAAAATAATTTGCTTTGCCTTCAAAGGCAAAGGGAAGGCGGCGACAGGAGTGCCTGAAGCCAAGTGTCTCCTCAGGGCTCCGGTTGCAGGGAGGAGCCCTGACTGGCCGCATGTGGCTGCGCCAAACGCTGCGGCGTTGCTTTAACGCCGCGGCAGCAAGGGAGAAGGAAAAGCAACGGTGGCGGAAGGTCTCCCGGAGCTGTCGCCGCCCGCCCACCCGAGGATGCATGGGGGGGGGGGGAATTAAGTCACCCCCGAAAAGACGGCCTAGCCGTTTTTTCGGGGGTCAAAAAAATAAGGCCCGGCTTTATTATGTGAGAAACACGGTAGCATTTAAAAATTCTTAAATGTAGTGTGTGACAAGGTGATACCAGAAATGTTCATTTAATTTATATGGGACTAGGAAGAAATAGCTTATAAAATAGCATTTTGATAAGGAGCTGTATGGTTTCATTTGATGGACATACATGAAATTGTATGATTTCTTTTTTCTCTTAGATTCCTGAAAATTAAAAGAACTTTCAGCACAATGGACTGGAATGTCGGGACAATCAATAAGATGCAAACTCATGGATCCTACATGATGCCCCAAGTTACTTCTGCTGCTTCTGTTACTTCCCAAACAAATGTCTTAATGCAGAATTTTTGTAATTCTGGAAACAGCCAAACCACAAATATCCGATCAAATGTGAAGTATATGTTGACAAATAAACAACAATGTCAAAATAACAGGGCTTCTAAAACCTTAAGGCCAGTATTTCCTAAAGTAGCAGTATCTAAAACAAGTTTTGGACTAAACAATAATTTTTACAGTTTGTCGCCACCTTCACTTTCCACCGTGACAGTCCAAATGGCAGCTGATGTACAGAATCCAAATTCATCAAGGAACATGCATATCTCTTCCTCTGTACCAGTACAGGGAAGTACAGTTAATTCTGTGCAAAATATGCATCAAAAGACAAATGCATATATAGCTGTGGGCAGTTTCAGTAATCAGACACTGCAAAATTGTTCAAATTCTATGGGAACCGCAGTTTATCAGCAAGATCTCCTAAATACTTCATCTCCAAAAAGGGCCCTAACACAGATGCCCTACTATTACATGAATGGGCCTACCTCTCAAGTAGATGCTAGAGTGTCCCTTAACTCTGCATCAAATTATTATTTACCTCCTCAGCAAAATGTCCAATATCCTGATTACTCTTCAGCAAAGAAGTGCCCAAATTCAGCTATTCCAGTAACAATGCAATCACAACCTTATGCTTCTTATCAAATAAATCCTCCACCATATCCAATTTATTCTCATTATGATTACGGGAATGCTGTCCAAGCTACTAACATATCTCTATCAGACTCGATAGTTCCCAGACAAGGGAACCATGGACAATTTGTTCTGCAACAACCAACTGCAATTTTATCTAATGAAAAAGTTGAAAGTTATCATAATTCTCTGATTGATCAAAATAGCAATTTATATTCTGTTCGGCCTGATCAGAAATCTCAATCTCTGTCATTCTGTACAGAAACAAATGTGGTAGGCCCCACTGCCGATAATGTAAGTGGACTAAAAACAACAATGCAGCTTTCTAATGAATCAGTAAAGTCATGTGTTGAAGGTAATTTTTCTAACAGTATACCAACAATTACAACAACTAAGGCTGCTGAACCTTTGCAACAAACAAATAAAACTTTGCAATTAGAAAAGAACGTAAGTAATGAGAATTTATCCAAGCATAAACTTAAAATAACTAGAGAGAGTTTATCACTAGATGTTCAAGCCTTGTATGAAATGAGAAATGCATTATTAAAACTTAAAGACAATTTTAGTTTAAAACAAAAATTATATTTATCTTCTCTACAGAGTGGGCAGACCTCTAATACATCCATAAACAATCAAAATCCTAATAATTTATTTCCTCATGATACCAACCCATCAGTAAAATGTACTGTCCAGCAGGTTCTCTCAGATAAAGTCACTCCAAGTCAGTTTTCATCTAATTCACACAATTCTTCAGTTGTACCGCAGAAAACAAAGTATCATTTATTGCCAATTCTGTGGAATATGCTGAAAGGTACTGATGATGAAAATATGTTATTTAGTGCTGATGTTGAAAGTGGAGATAAATACCAAAATAAGCATTTTATTGTTCAAGAGAATTCATGTACTGATTCTAATGGTGATACATTTAGAAATCCTCTTAACACTGATGGAACTACTAAATTAAGCTATAAAAACTCTCCTGTTCATTCTAGTCAGGGAACAAACATCATTAAATCTGCTCATAATCAATTGGAGAAAATATCAGCTGTACCTAACGGTGACTTATTTAATTCTTCTGAACAGAATAAAGATTCAGAAAGGGGTGGTGTTCAGTATTTAAATGATGGCATTCAGAGTTTGATTCAGAATCCAGATGTTTCTCAGGAATCATCCTCAATGAAAAAACCAATCAAAGAAGAACATGGTAATTCTACTCCTGCATGTCACATTCAGCATAGTGAAACTACTTGCCTTCAGAAACCTACGAATAGTGAAAAGATAGCTGATATGTCTAGTTTTTCTATCTCCAAAGGAGTTGAAGCTATTACTGGGACTCATGGTGTAGAAAGAACTTGTTCTTTGGAAGAACTGAAAACAAGCCTGGCTCTATGGAGAAAATGCCTCCCAAAATCTTTAAATGAACTAATAAATGGAAATAATGAACCTTCCAGTGATGGGATGGATGGCAAGGGTACTGCAAAAACTTTGGAAAACATCCCTAATATATTGACTCAAAATTACGACACTAAAATTACAGTCGAAAGGACTCAGATTTATGGTTCTTTTGAAAAAAACCTTGATGGAGTAAATTCCAATTTGCCAAAAGGCTCTGAACTTCAAGTAGCTGTAGTTACTCCACGGATATTATCAAAAAATAATGATGTACAGAAAAATAATGAAAGCATTTATCCAGCTACCGATATTGAAGAAGGCACTGTCCATACTTTAGAAAAAGCTATATCTACAAAATCAGATAGTAACAAGGAAAAAAGAACTATTTACTCACCTACACATTCCTATAAATATTGTGATTTAAATGAGCACCAGGGAACAAACAAACCCACAGGAAATAATAAAATAGTGAAAGAAGTTGGAACAAATCACTCTTTTGATTTAAAGCAAGAGAAAACAAATTCCTCACTACTTGAATTAAAGCAATATGCCCTCAATTCAGGAGACCAACATCAATGTGAACTGATCACTAATCATTTAATTGCATCTCCTCTAACATGTGTAACATCAAAAAAACATGGCCCAAATTTGGATGAATCCAACAATACTGCTGACATTGGGTTGAAAGACAGTATGTTGCAAATAGCTAGTGTATGTACTCTTGTACAGGGTGATGCATTTTATAATTCACAAATAGCAGACATCTTTAGCGCTAGCCTTTCGAAACCTGATATAAAGTTTGAAATTTCAGAAGAACACATGCCTTCTCTACAACACAATGAGGACAAATCTGGCCTTTTGAAAAATGATCCTGAAGTTGGAATGAGTCTTTCAGAGGAAGATGGCATATTGCTACCATCAGGAAGTTTTTCCAAAGCTTTATCAGGAAATCTTGAAGACTTGCAAACATTAGAAAGCCCTCAGTATGACAAAACCTCAGTGGAAACAAATGCAAGCAACTCTGAGAAACAAAAGGACAACGACTTTTTAGAAGTTGCTTCACTTTCAGGGAAAAAAAATGAGCAAGATATATCTTATGGTTGCAATATGGATTTGTCCAACAATGAGGTGTTTGAAAATCAGGACAGTCTGTGTGAGACAAACAACATGTCCAGTATTAGAAAAGCAGGTGACTCAGAGCATACCCTGGATAAAGGCAAGGAAGCCCACTTGGGAAGCAGCACTGAATCCTCTGTAACGTTTTTGAACAATCAGCTAACTGAGCTTTCAAAAGAATTTCCTTACGGAATTGGTTATTTGAATATGATAAAGGAAATAGAAAACAAAGATTCTATAACTATTCTAACAGAAAGAAAAGATAAAGAAAACACTATAAGGCATGAGAAAAGTCTTGATCCTAGTGATGCAGTAGACCAAATTAAAATAGTAATCCTAAATTCTCAACAGATGAGTGAAGTGTTTCCTGAATGCAGTCAACAATCCTCTAACAAGCTAGTTAACCATGGAGGTGACCAGATGAGAATGGATTCAAAACATAATTTCAGTAAAGATATCGGACACTACAGGAAGTCTAACCAGGACTTAAATGTTGATAGCAAAACTGTCAGGTCTGAAAGACTTGCTAAAACAGAACGAACATACTGCTGCTTGCCAGGATGGTTAGCTTCAAAATATAATGTGGAGCCTTGTTCATGCATGCTAGCTAAAGAACCTGGTTTGAAGGGAAAAACTGATTCACAGTCTAAAGAGAGATCAAAATCCAATGAGTCTGATTGTAGCCTTAAAAATGAAGTACAGAATTCCATATTGGATACAGGCAATAATATCTTTCTTTTGGGAGATCAGAGTAACAAAGCTTTAACTAAGACTTTTGGATATAAAGAAACTGAACCTCAGATAAAGGAAGATAAACTACCCAAATTAGAGCAAACAACTACTCCATGTTATTTATTGGAAAAATCAAATTCACAAGAACCTAAAAAACGGGGTAAAAAACTGTCTCATTCTATGGATTCCCAGTCTCTACAGAGAGAAAGAGGTGGAACTAATAACATGCACAACAAGAAAAATAGTAGAAGGAATATCTCAAAAAGTGAAGCACAGTATCATTTAAATACAGACTTCAAAAAGATAATTATCAAAAAATTTGCCAAAAAGAAATTGGAGAAAAAGTCTTTTAATAAAACTCTGAAATCAAAAACAGATATTGATCGCCACAGAGGAATAGAAACTAAGCTTAGTGCCAATTTTGAAAAATACAAAATTAAACGAGATACTAGTGAAACACACATGATTAAAGGACCAGTTTCAAGCAGGAGTCTAAAGAGAAAAATGAAAGAGAAAAAGCTTAAAGCATTGGAAACTCAGCCTAGTGAGGTCATGCCCTCTTCAACATTAAACAGTGTTAGCTTTGCTTCTGAAAAACATGAAAATGTTGAGCATAACTCTACCTTGGGCTCGCAAGAACATTTAAATAAAACAAAATTGAAAGATTTGGAGAAACAATATGGATACAAAAAAGTACAATATAATGAACCCATTTGTCCTAAGCAGCCTGTTGAAAAAAATATCACACAGCTTGTTAAAAGAATAAATCTAGAGCGATATGCATACAGAAAAGATAAGACAAATGCACGGAAATGTCAAAGCTCACATTTCAATAATAGAATTCCTGCATCCCAGAATGAAGGAGATAATCCTTCCAATGTATTTGAAGTCCACTCCCCAGTCAAAGAAAGCACATTGGATAGTAGTAACTCAGACAAGTGGTCTGTAAAATCACTTTCTGATAAAAAATGTTTTAAAAGAAAAAATAAACACACTGTTTTTCTGCAAAAGGAACAAAAGAAAAACTATTTGAACAGAGTTGCATTTAAACGGACTGCCCAGAAGACTATTCGTTTGACAAGCCTGGATTCTGTACATTCCAAATCTCTTTGGCAGGTGAAATCAAGTAATGGAACTGAGGGTTCTAAACCCCACCAAAAAGGCAGCTCTTCATCTCATATGTCTGAAGTAGAAAGGCCACAAATGCTTGAATTCAAAATGTGTCCAGAAATATTATTTAGGAAGTCCACCTCTGAAGAACAAACTTTAGACTCAAAGCTTCCTGAAAAAAACAGGATATCTGTTACAGGTACAGTTGGGTTTCCTTTTAATCAGTCAAAGTAAACCATACAGTATTTTCTTTTAAAAATATTACAAATGCAAGCCAACCCCACATTTATATTGCTATGTCTAAAGAGTTAAACATCTATAAAATACCTTTTAATTTGGCTAGAAAGCTTTTTTTATATTCCTCAAGCAGTAGAAATCTGTAGCAACATGCTAAAGATCTCAACACAACAGTAGCTAATAGTATCTGTTACAGGTTTGGATTTCATCTGGCCCTCAGCTTGTTCTGATGGAAATTCCCTAAATTTCAAAAACTTAGTATAGATAGTAAAACAGCATATATTCATATAGTTTGGAGTTTTAGCCATTAGGGCAAATATAGATAGTCCTTGACTTACAACCAGAGTTGAGCCCAAAATTTCTTTTGTTAAGTGAGACAGTTACGTGAATTTTGTCCCATCTTACAACCTTTCTTGCCACAATTGTTAAATGAATCACTGCAGTTGTTAAATCAGTAACACAGTTGTTATGTGAATTTGGCTTCCCCATTGACTTTGCTTGTCAGAAAGTCACAAAAGGTGATCACATGACCCCACAACATTGCAACTGTCATAAATATGAACCAGTTTCCAAGCATCTGAATTTTTATTACATGACCAAGGGGATGCTGCAATGGTTGTGTGAAAAACGGTCATAAGTCCCTTTTTTCAGTCCTATTATTTCGAACAGTCACTAAACGAACTGTTGTAAGTCAAGGAATACTTGTATCCTTAACCTTTGTACTATATGTAGTCAATCTGGCTTGCTTTTTTACATACTCTTATCAAACAATAAGCTTCTAATTATTATTTACAGCAGTCAAAAGTAAAAGAGAAGATTGGTTAAATTACTGTCCTGTGAAAAGAAGAAAAATGGAAGAAAATGAAAGTCAAGGTAACCTTGTCTAAAACTTAGCCATTTGATTTAGGAGGTGAGCATAACTTTCATCAACACCACTCAGATTGCCAAACAATACTTCGTTCTTCCTTCCATTTCTATATATTTTCTAACATCCCAGCAAACTGATATTTTTGGAATTACTTTTGCTAGATTAATCTAGCTATTAAAAATGAGATAGGTGAAATTAACATAGTTAAACAATTGATAACAGGAGACACTTGCAATCCTGCTTGTTGGCTTCTCAGAGAAATCTGGCTGGCTGCAGTGGATTAAAGATGCTTGGCTAAATAGACCTGCAGACACAGGCAGATGGACTATTTCTTTGCCATTTGATTTTGAGGACCTTGCAGAAAACTTACTTGGTTTTATTTGATTACCTATGCCAGGAGATAAAGGTTGGTGTTGATTTTGGTAGTTGTTAATGCCATTTGGCTTTGGAAGCATAAAGCTTTGTGTTCCATCAAACCAGTGGAAAGCTGTGAGATTTTACCAGTGCACCCTACAGGCTTTGCTGCAAGGAGATAGTCCCAGTGTTAATCTATAGATAAGGGAAGGGATCAATATCAGATAGGTGTGTCAGCTAAAAGGAGATAAGATAATGCTGCTATGAATATATGAGGGCAGGCTCACAGTCCCCATAGAGGAGGGGACAGTGGCCTTCTCCTTCTTACTTCCAAAGCTTTTTAACAATTGAATCAATTCCAGTTTTGCTTCATGCAGGCTGTAATCTGCTCAGAATGGTCCAACTGGATTTTTGGATACAATGCATTTGTTACCTGCATGAAGCAAAACACACATTCTGTTTGCATATTTCTATTGTAAGACACCAAGCTAAAATAATGGGATGGTTTTGTTGCTAATCTTGCAGTTAATAATGACATTCCACTTGACACTGCAATAAAAATACTGGAAGGAAATGAAGTATTCCAAGGGTCCACGAAGGATTCCAAAGCCACCTTTGACACCTACCGGAAAATGCATCTAGAAAAAAGAAGCCAAAGCCTGGATAGCGGTCCCATAAGCTAGGAGCTTTCTTTTGTAAACAACACATTTTGGACTTCATGCGCTTATATTCATGTCCTGATGGCTCAAACTGGTAATAAGGTGTGTCTTTCATCTATGTGACCTTCCATAATTTATTTCATGCCTACTGGTATCTTGCGTATGTAATGATGCTTACTTAAGTACGTAGGTATGCTAATTGTTGAATTCTGGAATGTGTTATAATTTCAACTTGTTGGAGATTTTGTTAGGTACAGTTAAGTTCAATACCTGGCCTGAGGTTCAGAAATGATGGCAATATCAGTTCAAAACTAGGCAAATTGCTGGCATTTTTATGTAGACATTTTAAAGCAGGGGTCTTCAAACTTGGCGAGTTTAAGACTTGTGGACTTCAACTCCCAGAATTCCTCTAGTCATGTTAGCTCAGGAATTCTGGGAATTGAAGTCCACAAGTCTTAAACTTGCCAAGTTTCAAGACCCTTGTTTTAAAAGAATGGAGCTGTAGTTTATTAACTGTTGTGGAAATAATTAATACATTAATAAAAAATAGTAATCAGCCTTAGTAGGTTTATCAAGGAGCATTGGATTTTATTAGCTGCTATTCTGTTTTGTTGGGACATGAGAACCATACCAGAGTATCAATTTTTGCTTTACTGTACTGTAATCCATTTACATACTGGGTATTTGGAAGAAGAGGATTCCAGGTAAAAGCAAAAGGGCTATTTTTCAAATGGTTGCTATGATTTAAATGAAAATATATTTAATTTTTTTCATTCAGAACCCCTTTAACAAGCATTTCATTTGGACTCTTCCAATTATTTTTACAAGACAAATCCCTCAGTAAGCTATATTAGCTAAATGTAACAACAATTTGTGCCTAGAAACTATTGTGTTATTGAATGTTGTGCCTTTTATTGTTTGGCACTTTTGTTACTTTGTTTATTTTGACAGCTATATGTATTTTGAGTAAACGTTTAGTCACTTTCAAATGGTATTATTTGTTTACAGAATTAAAAACATTTATTTTTTACCATAAGTGGTTTTTGTGTATTTGTAAAAATTACTTGCTCAAATTTTAAGTTGGTTGGCTAAGATTATAAATAACATCTTGTGCAAGATCACTCATCTCCAAAATATATATATTTTTAGTTCAAACACCAGCCATCCACTTCAAAAGTCACAGTATGTGTGCCAGAGAGGGTTCTTCTAGGATCTGTACTGTTTTTCTGGCAATTAAAAGAGAAAAAGTGACAAGAATGAAACATTTCAACAGCAAACATTAGATGAGTCAGCCTGGTATTTTCTTGCTGGACACAAAACTCACTAGAGTTAAAGTTCATTAATTTTCCAGAATAGAAAATAACACAGAATAGAAACGCTTTAAAACTTAATGTGATCATTCTCTGCTGAAAAAATGATAAACCACAGAGCTGCCCAAATCATGATGATTCTATTGGTAAGTAAAAAGAAGTTCTAAGTGTGATTTTAGCTCAAATTGCTCTGGGTAAAACGAATCCAGTGTTGGGCTGAGCCAACGCTTTTTAATGCTGCAGCTTTCTATTTTTATTTTTCTCCTTCCTCAGTTTGTACTTGACCCCTGCCTCTCTGCTCCAGTAAAATGGATCATATCTCAAAATCCCATTCCCTCTACTCTTCTTTGAACCAGCTTCTGTTCTTTTATCATTGAATTAAATGTATTAATTTCTCCACAGACTGTTAACTGCTGAAGATCTCTATGTTTGCAAACTAACTATTGAATGCCAAATGATTACTTTTAATGTCCATTTATAAAATATTGGATATTAATTGTAATTTCATTTTTGGACTTCCATTATGCATTAGCTTGGTTCCAAAAAATAGCATTCGGTCTATTTTGTAGAGATTTTCTGATTCATTTTTATCTGTAGTTCATTTTTGGTAAATAAACCATTATTAAGTATGACTATATAATATTCAGGTTTAATAACCATAACCTGCCTAGTCATTGATAAGAATTCTGGGAGTTGAAATTCATCTAGTTAGAAGTTTTCAAAACTTGCATACAGTGAAAAAAACAGCTGTATTATCTCCATATATCACAGGGCTTCCTACTCACCCTCATCTTTCTGACAACTTTGAAATCCAAGCTATATGGGAAACTTTTTTTTAAAGTAACACCTATTCAATCACGTTACTCAGTCTGAATGATTAAAATTACGTATTTGTACCACTTCCTCTAAAATTTCATTGAATGAGATAAGAGTTATGAACAATGCAAAAGCCAGATAGGAAACCACTTTAAATTTTAGTGAACTTCCTTTTTTTCCAAATAATTTTATTAAAGAAAAAAAAATAACAGGCTAAAAAAAAGAGTAAAAGCAGCAAAGAGGAATAATAAAGACTTAAAAGAATAGGAAAAAAGGAAAGGAAACTAGGAATATAGTAAAGAAAAAGAAAAGTTATATAAAGGAGTGAATTCCAACCTTCATCACAAAATATATAAAGAATTTTAGTAATTTTTCACATCTTAAATAACAAAAATGATTGTGCCTTCCCATATCCCCTCTTATATCTATAAACAAATCCATAAAATAGAGTTATCTCAGTCTTGGTGTCAGCAAAAATTCATGAAGGATTACCAAAAATAACATTTTTATTTATTTATATTTCCTATTTCTCAACCACCTCTCTCCCTCGGAATTAAACATACCTATTTTAACCTTGATCGAATAGACCAATTTTATATTTCTCCCATTTACTTCTAACAACCTTTACCTTTAGTCCTTTCAAATAATTTCATAGAAGGTTTATTTCTTTTCATTGATCTCTTCATTTCTTTGTCTCTTCTCATGAGATTAGGCAGAGGAAGGGGGAAAGCTGTTTGTCAGGAACAACTGTTTGCTTCCTGGCCTTTGTGGACCTTGAATTGTGTTTTCTGGCTTTGTAGACTTTGAACCTCAAACTTGCCTTGCTGATACCTATGAAACTTTACCTATGAAACTCGGACTTAGCTTTGCATTTTTGAAATCTAGGACTTTGATTTGTGGACTAGGAATTGTGTTTGTCGCTGCCTTGGGACGTGGGTCTGTGTAGTATTGCTGTCAGGGGGCTTGGGGTGCAACCTTATTAACCCCATTGGGAGGGCTGTCTGTCACTGTGCAATAAACTGACTTAACTAACATTTGTACTTGTAAGTGTGACCTGAGTCGAAACAGATGTAAGCCTTTGAAGTCCCATCCGTTCTTGCTCTTGTTGATCTGTCTGCAGCTTTTGATATCATCAAATATTTACACTGTCATTTAGAATCAATTTGGAATTTATCATGCAACTGGACAATTGTGGACACCTCAAGTTGAAGGAAGAATGCAAATGCCATAGATATGCAGGCCATCCTGAAAGCAATTATTGTTCTAAAAGCTATAGCTGCATTGTCCTGAAAAAAGCAGGAAAACAGATTATGTAGGCACATACAGCACCCATGCAGAATAGCCTGCAGCCTTGAAGTCATTAAATTTTAATTTTCAAGTGACAGTTTTCACAGTAGCACACAACTTGTGTTCCTACAGCCAAGATCTATCCATGGAAGAAGTCTGAGGCAAAGCTAAGGAACCAAACGTGGAAATTTCCAGATTATTGATCTATACAACACTATTTTAGGACTGTTTTAACAATTGATTCACTTGCAAGAGCACTATGGTGGTGCGGAAGAACCTGTAGACTCAATGTTGAAAATTAGTTGATAAAAATTCTCAGTCAGAGAAGATTCTTTGGAAGTTGAGTCGCATCAACTGGACTTCTTGTTTGTTCGAAACAAGAAAAGTAGCTTCTTCAGTATATGGAAAATTAGGTTTGCCCCTGAAATATATCCTGTAGCAAAGCAATTGATCAAACTGTTCCATATGTGATGACTTTAATGCATAAAAAGATTCCAAAAGAAAAAGGAGGTCAGCCTTAGGTAACTCAACCTTGTAGGAACCTGCAAATAGTCTGTATCACTCTATCTCCCTGTTGAAGATGGAGACACATTGTTTTTAAAGAGCAACTGGATGGATGGAAGATACTCAGGCTTCAAAGACTGACATTTAGGATCTGATTATGGACATTTAAATGTTTAGGGCATTTAGGAATGACAATGAAAAATTATAAATTTAGTTTTGTTCCCACTTCAAACATGGTGTTAAAGCGGGGGTGTCAAACTCACTGTGAAGCAGCTGAAAAAGAGCATATAAAGCACTTTTTATATAGAACGTATAAAGCACTTTTCATATTTAGCACAGGTCAACAAGTCATATTTAGCAAAGGTCCCTTCCCATCACTATGCTTAACATAACATTGGGTAAACCCACAAAATTGCTGAACTCAGGAACTTGAACTAACCACGTTACTGTAAATAAGGGTGAACATGGAAAATAACTGATGGTGTAAGATAACTGAACAATCAAAAATATACCTGTTATTTCCTCTTTATACTTCCTCTATAGAAATGTATGCAATATTGTCCTTATTTGGTAAAATGTAGTAAGAGTAACGTCCAGGTCTATGCTGAGGTCATAATGGGTATAAAAATATTGTCTCAGGAAGAGCTGGGGGTTCAGAATTTGCCATGCTAATGCTCTGAACACTTTGCGCAAATAAAACCTGTATTCTCCAACCTTTTGTGGTCTTGTGTCCTGATTTGGAAGCAAGATTTGCTGCTACAACTGGGGCTGGTACCGGCCCGTGGGGTGCTTAGATCTGGCTGCGGGGCCACCCTGGAAACAGTGAAACACCGGCTCATGGTGCTTCTGCTAGAGAAAGCGCAGCCCGACCAGGCTCCATTTTTTGGCTGTGATGGCTTCTACAGTCTTCTGCCAATGAAAATGGATCCTGGATAGACCATGCACGGCCTCTCCAAGCTCCGTTTTCACTGGCAGAGGGCTAAGCAGGAGGACGTCCCAGCCAAAAATAGAGCCTTGATGAGTGATGTCGAGCTGGCTATGCCCACCCTGACCACATCCCAGCCCCCCTGCCCTCCCAAGGTCAAACACAATTCTGATTTGGCCCTCAATGATATCAAGTTTGACACCCCTGTGCTAAAGGAACTTGCAAAAGCTTTGGAGTAGAACAGACGTTGCATAGCCCTTATCATCCACCATTATCAGGAAAAGTTGAATGAGCTAAAAACTGCTTTGCATTCACTAGAATTTTGTCTGAGCAAAGTCCAAGCAGTAGGAAATGACACACCAACTTGTTTTGCGAGTTTACCAATTTCCAAGCTCATAGAAAACATTGTAGATCATGTTGTCAAGTCCAGGAAATAGACAATCTGCCCCTGCTTGGGTGTCTAAGAGATCTCTATTCAACTTTGGAAGGTAGTCTTTTCTGATATCCTTACGTCTATTTCACTCCTCACTTCTACGTGATGGGAGAGCCCCATGAGGAGGTGGAGGCTTTGGGTCAAGAAGATGGCTGATAAAGGAAGCCTTGAAGAAAATTATATGAACGACTTTTCTGCCTTTGGCAAGATATATATCCAGTGGGATGGAGTATAATATGATCCTGCCTTTCTCCCTACGCTATTTAAAAACTGAATATAATGCTATCTAGGTAAGTTGTCTAACATGCATCCTGCTAAAAACTCAAATCTTACTTCAGTCATGATTTCAGATCTTCTAGAAGTCAGAGAGGGCTGAATTAGAGAAAAGCTGTCCTGTTCCTGTCCACAAGCACACACAAGAGATAAGGTGTTAGATGTATTTGTTCACACAACTAACCATTGACATTCCTCAAGGCCCCACTGCACATGTAAAGACTTACGAGTAGTCCCTTTAAACATTTCTCAAAGTATCATCTCAATGAAGTAGCCATGGCTTCCCACCAGTTCAAGGCAGTGTAGAGGCAAACGTAGCTCTACCTTATCTGAAGCCAGACTAACACCAGAAGCCCGAATAAGTTTGAAGGAAGATGAAGGCAAATCCGACTCCTGAGTTCACGGAACAAAGGCAAAACATGACTTCAAGTTCAAGGCAGGATAAAGACAAAATGCAACCCCCACGAGCTCCAACAAGACAAAGGCTAATGAGACTCTAATAGATTCAAGACAAAGGATCAAGGATGTTTCCAAACATCCACAACCAGTCAGATTAAGGATAGTTGTCTCTGACATTGATGAAGTTCAAAACCGTAGTGAAATAGGTGCTGAGAGAAGTGAGAATTATTCCTGTAAAGAAAAGAGCAACATATTTCTCTTCTGTATAACCTGAGAAACCCCTGGTGGGATATTAACTAATGTATTAGTGTGTTAACATTCATACGAGGACACCAGCTGTCAAGCTAGTCTAAGAAAAGAAACCAGTTATTGCGAAAAGTGCAAACAATATCAGGATGTAGCAACTGTTAAGCAAATGTTAAGTAACTGATAAGGGGATAGACTGTGAATCGAAAACTCATCTGATCTGGTTGGACCAATGATAATAAGGGGCAGTAATGGGGGTGCAGTTTTTTGGAAGTGTATTTAACTCTGTCATCATTTGTATCATTGCTCTTTGTGCCTCTACCCACATGAGGACAAGGAAACAGCTTTTGCAAAAACTCAACTAAAGCTCCTGTATTGGTCACGGTGTCTCCTGTTGATTCAAACAGAGAATTTCAAATCTCACAGGTGCCAACTGGTAAACCTTATTAAGAGAGGCTGCCTCCTTTCAAATAGCCTTGCTGGTCTCCATTGTACCTCTCTCTATTTGACCTTGCATGTCCTTGGATTGGGGGATGGCTGAAAACTACTTGTCAGCACTGATTGACTGCAGATTCTTCTCCAGACTCTGTAGTTGGCTGTTCATCTGGTCGCGCTCTCTCAGATTCCAACAATGTTGCCTGGACTGCTTCACTCCAATCACCCGTTCTGCCATTCCTTGTCTTGACTGCCACGGATCCTTGTGTCATGCCCCTGGTGGAGACTGACTCTGAGAAAGAGGAGGAACAGCCAACAGGGAGTGGGAGTGTGGCTCCAGAAGTGGTGGAGGAGGCTGGGGAAGGGCAGAGGCTGGCTGAGCAATCAGAGGAGGATCCAGGCCCATCCCCTATCCATCCTAGGTAATGCAGGGAGGAGAGGATCAGGGAAAAGTGAGGTCTACTCAAGAGGAGATTACCATGATCCTCCTTGTGGCTTGCAGCTGGGAGCTATGTATATAAGTTTGTAACTGCGCAGTCAGAATTGCTGGATTTAGTGTTTACTTCGAAAGAGGTTTATCTTTGCTGGTGTTCTTCCCATGGACTCTCCTTGGTTATTTTCCTGGAGTTTATGATCAGTTATCTTGGCTTGCTTCGGAACTCTCATCAATGCGGTTTGTTTTGGTTTTCTTTTTGCCTCATTATTTACTTTTGTGACTTTAAACTGCCTAATAAAATAGTGAAGTTAATTTGAAGGCCTTACCGGACTTTATGTTTTGGGTTTTGGGTTATTTTGAGAGACTACGGGTCATCACATTTTGACTCCAGCCACCCCTTCAACTTATTTTTGCTTTTTGTGGGGTGACCACCAGCTCAAAGCAGAGATTGTCCAGTTAACTCAGCAAGTGGCTCTTTTGACTGCACAGGTGGCACAAATGCAAGCTGCCTGGCCATGCCAAAAATGACCAGTGGCAGTGCCAGATAAATTTGATGGTTCGCTGGCCCAATTTCCAGCATTTTTTGGGCAGTGCCAGCTTTACATGAGCCTTCAGCCTGAGGACTTTCCCACTGACCGGGATAAGGTGGGTTTTTTGATTAGTTTGTTGTCAGGCTCTGCAGCACGTTGGGCGACACCTCTGCTGACCCAGCCCAACCAGGTGTTGGACAATTACGCTGAGTTTTGCCATCAGTTTCAGGCCATGTTTGAGGACCCTGTTCGAAGCCAAACTGCAAACAGATATTTGAGAGAGTTAAAGCATGGGCGTGGCTCACTCATAGATTATATTGCTAGTTTTTGGGTGGTTG